TTTAGATTTACCGACTAGGTGTTCTTTTTGGCGAAACGGGTAGACCGCTCTGCGTCCGCATAAAAGAACACCTAGTCGGTAAATCTAAACTAAAACACAATACCCCACTAGGCGCGCATAGGATGCAAGAACACAACGGAGAAGATTTTGAGGTAGGAGTCACTATCCTTACGCAGGAATCGAAAACATCAGCGCGAAAAACTCTTGAAGCGTTTTGGATCAATGCCAAAAATTCAAAAATGAACCGCAAGGAGGAGTGTCTTGTCATCACGCGTGACCTAGCGCCATACCTCAGGCTGATCCAATGATCTGACATGGACCCAGTTATCGACCATGTATTACTCTGTGCGGCGGCTATCCACCAACTAACTTAAATACTTACAACAAATAAACGGTAGGTGTTTGAATGAAGCTGTTTCTTATGCGAATACAAATCGATTTATCAAGTTTTATCTGCTAGGGTTATGAAAGTGTTTGGCTGAGTAGATCGCATCTCAATTTGACCTTTCCAGGCTCTGAAGAAGGCGAAACCGCCGAAACGTCAGCAATTGTGTTCTAATAAATTCTATATTAACAACCTCGTGTCTGCTTATTGATGAAAAACATTGAAAAAAGATTCCATTTCCATTAACCATTAAGAGTCCATATTAGTCATCTTTTACGGAATCTTTTTTTTTCTTTCTTTTTATTCTATCCTGTCCAAGTTTGTTTATCCTTTACTTTATTCGTTTACTGGTCAAAGTATTCGTCAAAGCAGCTGGAAGATATATATATATATATATATACATGTATACAAATATATATATGCACATATGTATATACATATATATATATATTTGAAGCGAAAATTTTAAAAAGAATTTTTTCCTCGAAAAGGGTCTTGAAGCAACAAACGATTTTTCATTGCTTCCCGGGTAGAATATGAAACAGGTATGTTAGATTGATATTTCCAGAGAGCGTCGTGAACAGCTTCAATTGTGCTCCTAATCCTCTTCATCTATTCAAATTACTACATGTTCTGGCTACTTACTTGGCCAATGGTGACTTGTGGTTGTAGTCTTCCATGGCTTGGGTTAGTAGAATCACAGTCTAGAAAATAATATTAGAAGAATATTAGAATTGCTACAGGAACTGGGCCTCTCCTTCTTCACCTTCCCTTCCATATGTGAAGGAACGTAAAGTCTCTTTAGACCCACAAAAAAGCCTTAAAGCCAAGAAATTTTGAACAATAAGTCAAAATTATTTCTAAACGGTCTTTTTCGGTCGCCATGGTCCACAGCGTCTCTGTTCGTACTAGAAGACCGTCGCTGTGCGGTTACTCATTTTCGGTTCATACACGGAGAACGTGCTAAAAACTGAATGAACTCTTACCATTGTCGAAGAGAGAACGAAAAAGACATGTCTATACGGCGCGAACGCCTCCACCTCCGTAGTTCGCCCCATATCTCCAATTTAATGAAGAAGAGTAGCGTGTGAAATATAAGATAATTCTTTCTTCGTGAGCAGACATGAGGTTGTTATTGCGTTATTTCTTCTTCTTTAGAGCCTGAAAAAGTCAAGCTCGCATCTACTCAGTGAAACACTACCATAACCGCATCAGGTGGAACTGAGTGGATAAATTTCATTCGCATTGCAAATAGTCCTTGTTGAACAACGTCTTCAAACGAATAGTCATTTAACATTGGTAGTAATAGTCAATACGTTCTTCGATTTTTAAGCTAACACGAGGCTGATAGATAGATTTATTGGGCTAACGTTTCGACATCTTCGTCTTCATCAGAGCTGATAATCCGAATTGGTGGTAGACAGGTCCTCTCGATGTAGCGTCTTCGTCTTTGTATCGAGTTGGACCCTCCTCAGTATCATCAAGAGGAGAGACTGCTCTGGACTCAGCGTTTTGTTCTTCATTAGTCTTGCAGTTATTGTTGGAGACCAGCCGCAACAGAGTCACCGTCACACATAACCGCAAGCTACCCTCCTGCGGTTCATTTTTTCATGGATTCCAAAAATTTATTCAAAACATTTTAAGCGTTTTACGCACTGATGTTTCAGATTGGTGTGCGAGGATACTGGCTTTTACTGAAAAATCTCTTTTATGTCTTTGTGCTTCAGACGTGCCTAATAGAGGTATTGCTTGGCTTCGAGCGTCCCAACTAAATAGATACGGGTTCCGAGTGGTCTACCTATTTAGCCAAAGTGATCGCCCGCGTTTACATGATTTGCAAGAACTCAGGTACAACGTACACTGACTCATAAAATCGTTCTAAATTTAGGGAAAACTATGCAACTATAGCCACAGTATGCTGAGATATTAGCAAAACTTAGATCCTGGGCTAGATTGAACCACGATTACCCTTTCTGGGGGTATGCGTATTACATACTGCACCACGGAAACCCTTGCATTGCGTTTCCTTAAGCTAATTTTCTACCTACTGCTACCATCGGCAATCATCCGTCAGCGAGATTGATCTGGGAGTACAAATCGGCATTGAACCCAGTTAACCTGAGACTGTGTGGAAATCACAATGTAAACCATTTATTTGATTCCCAAGACCGACTTTCTGTTAACCTCGGCATTAATTGATAATTCAATGTCTTTCATCAATAAGCAGACATGAGGTTGTTAATATAGAATTTATTAGAACACAATTGCTGACGTTTCGGCGGTTTCGCCTTCTTCAGAGCCTGGAAAGGTCAAATTGAGATGTGATCTACTCAGCCAAACACTTTCACAACCCTAGCAGATAAAACTTGACAATTCGATTTGCATTCGCATAAGAAACAGCTTCATTCAAACACCTACCGTTTATTTGTTGTAAGTATTTAAGTTAGTTGATGGATAGCAGCCGCACAGAGTAATACACGGGCGAGGACTGTGCCTGAGTTAGGTCACTGGATCAGCCTGAGGTATGGCGCCAGGTCACGCGTGATGACAAGACACTCCTCCTTGCGGTTCATTTTTGAATTTTTGGCATTGATCCAAAACGCTTCAAGAGTTTTACGCGCTGATGTTTTTGATTCCTGCGTAAGGATAGTGACTCCTACCTCAAAATCTTCTCCGTTGTGTTCCTGCATCCTATGCGCGCCTAGTGGAGTATTTTGTTTTAGTTTAGATTTACCGACTAGGTGTTCTTTTATGCGGACGCAGAGCGGTCTACCCGTTTCGCCAACATATTCGTGCCCGCACGCTTTACAAGAGATCAGATAGACTGTACCCGAACTCATGCAATCACCGTCTCTACCATTTGGGCAAATTATGCAGTTTTTTTGTTGTACATAGACGGTCGTACAGGCGGTTGCGAACTAGCTGGCGTCTTAGAGTGTCCGGTGGTATTTCTATCACTCTTACGAAATTCTCTAGACCGGCCCTTATTAAGCAGCGTTTTATAGCTGCACTTATTTCGTTTGAAATAAANGACAAGACACTCCTCCTTGCGGTTCATTTTTGAATTTTTGGCATTGATCCAAAACGCTTCAAGAGTTTTACGCGCTGATGTTTTTGATTCCTGCGTAAGGATAGTGACTCCTACCTCAAAATCTTCTCCGTTGTGTTCCTGCATCCTATGCGCGCCTAGTGGAGTATTTTGTTTTAGTTTAGATTTACCGACTAGGTGTTCTTTTATGCGGACGCAGAGCGGTCTACCCGTTTCGCCAACATATTCGTGCCCGCACGCTTTACAAGAGATCAGATAGACTGTACCCGAACTCATGCAATCACCGTCTCTACCATTTGGGCAAATTATGCAGTTTTTTTGTTGTACATAGACGGTCGTACAGGCGGTTGCGAACTAGCTGGCGTCTTAGAGTGTCCGGTGGTATTTCTATCACTCTTACGAAATTCTCTAGACCGGCCCTTATTAAGCAGCGTTTTATAGCTGCACTTATTTCGTTTGAAATAAAGGGCAACAGGAACGGAGCCTTGTTTTCGCTAGAAAACTTTCGCTTTTTTCCATTTATTTGATGCCAGCTATACTTTTTCACGGCTTTTATCATACTCTGACGTCAAGGGTTAAAATTATGCGATTATAATTTTGCACACAGGTGACCGTATAACTAGTAGTGAACTAGCCGTCGCGTTAGAGTAAATTCCAGTTAGAATCCCAAAAATCCAAAATTATAGTACGGGGCTGAGTGCTTTGTGAGCTCAACCAGGCACATCCTTCAACCGTGTAGGATTCTCTACGGTTAGTCTCCAACAATAAATGGAAGACGTTTAAGAAAAACGACAAGTTTTTGAAAAAGCCGTCACCTGTGGAATTTAAAGTTAGGTTTTCAGCTTTTCTCATGGGGTTGTAGAAGTATTTGGCTGAGGAGATTGTTTATCAATGTGATTTTTCCAGACTCTGAAGATGGCGAAGCAATCCAAACGTCAGGAATTGTGAATAATTAGTGTAATAATTACGACGTGTCTGCTAATCACAAAAACAGTGGATTATTGATCAAGGAGTGTGTGTGGCGCAGTGGTCGGAGGCGCCCTGCAACACACACGTGGAATCGATCTCCGCGCCCATGTCCCACCAACCCTTCCATTCCTCCGAGGTTGACAAATTGTACCAGACTTGTCTAGGAGGATATCAGTACTGGCTCGATACATCGGTAGGCCACCGCGAGTCGTTGTAAAGGCCAGATATGCATTCAATCACCACCAAATGATGCTTAATGAAGTCGATTCACGACGTATTCCGTATCCGTATCCTTTGTCTTTTTATTCATCAAGGGCGAGATTAATAAAATGTCGGCTGTGGGATTTGCTACATGGCGTGCAATCAAAAAATAATTGGTGCAGATGAAACAGAATTGATTAGTTGTTATCGTGATCATATGTTCACAAACTGAAATACTCTGCCATTAATAGAAGTGAAAGAGGATGCAACTGAAGACTCGGTCGTAAATGGTGAAAAGCATCTCTGAGGGAATTAGTTATAGGAATATCTGAGAGATTTATTAAAATAAAGCAGCTTTAAGACTTAAGATTGTCGAAATCTGCAAAATGCGGTGTGTAGGAAATAAGTTATAGCCAAAGGTGACGGTTGTCGGAGAATGAAACGAACAATAATCGCGCTTGAACCACTACACAGAGTCGTCATGATGGATTGTCGTTGTATGAAAGCAAATGCATAAATAAGCATAACTTTTTCTTATTTTATTTGATTCGCCTTCACCTGCTACTTGAGGATTTTCACTTCGTCTTGAATGTCATAGAATGCTGATCGAGCAATTCTCTTGTAGTCCTGAGATAGCCAGACTGGAACGTTATCAATTGGATTGAAGAAAGTGATTTTTTTTCCTAGACTAGTCCGGTACAAATTTTCCGATCCCAGAGAGATGAGAGGCTTCTTGGCCCGGAGTGGAATCGAACTAGCATCATGCACGTGATGACGGGCATCACTACCACTGTGATATCTGCTTCCTATAAATATGACTTAAGAAACATATTCTGGTCAAATATGTTGTTTTTTTTTAGTAATTATAGATGCAGTGATTATGTTCCAATGCGAAATCTATCATCAGGTACATCATAGCACTCATCATCGCCTTGGTTCTAAGGTAATCATTCAAGGACAGTTTAAGGATTGCCATTGAAACAGGAATTCAAAACGTAGGTTCGTTCACTTCAGCATTAAAAAACACTCAATTAACTTCCAGGTCTCAGAGGCAAGCAATGAATCACATGCACTTATATTTGCAAGTTCAATCTTTGTAGGATCTCTGCAGAATCTGCGCACCACTTTATGCACTGGTAATGGATTGTAATTGTGATCAACATTGACCAGCTCAGAAAACACCTAGGGCAAAACACATACGGAGGCCTAACTCTGACGCCTTTCCTAAGTAGCCAGACAAACGTGTGATTTTATCGAGATCCTTTGCAAATCCATTAAAGTGTAGGATAAAAAGAAGAAAGGCCATATCAGGAAATTTGCTCAGGT